AAGTGGCTGGTAGCAGTCAAAGAAAAGTGTAGATAAAGTTCAAGAATAAAAAAAAGTGGAATGGCTAGTTTTATATTCTATCCAATTTTTTTGTAAGCTTGTGTTCAAATCACTTCTGTTTATTAAAAAAACCCACCAGCTTTATTAATTGTTATTGCTTAGGTCCATCATGACTTCAGGAGGATTCCTGAGTGATAACACTATGAAGTTCTTAAGAAGAAGTCAGAAACTCACTGGAGTTAGAAAAACAGCTTGTGCCAGAAGAAATGGTTTTATTTTGACAGAGTTCCCACATGCAATCTTTGTTTAGCCAAGGGGAGAGCAGGAGGCTGATGCAGAAGGTCTGGGCTTAGCCCAAGGAATGTTGAGCCAGGAGCTTCCTGAACCCTGATCCCACGAGAGCCACTGACTCACGGGGGAACCTGGGGCAAATCTCCTGACCTTCTTTTGCTCCCCAGTTGTCCCAGCTGGAAATGAGGTGAAAGGCATGACCTCACTGGCAAACACGTGTTTCATCCGAGCTGAGCTCCTCTGAGAAAACAAATTACAATGCCTGCAGCATTTTCCAGCCTGCTGTGTCACCTTGCATGCCTCCTGTGGTCAGAGGGAGTGCAAGAAGAGCTCTTTGACATGCTGTCCAAGTTCTTGTCCATAAGCAGGGATTGGTGGCTTTTTTCCAGGAGACCCACCTTGGATTGTGCTTTAGCAAAGCCTGGAGTTGGCTTGCTGTATGTTGTGGATATTTTGTTTTCTTGTTTCCAATACTTCAAACACCAGTGAAAAATGTGTGACAGTACAGTAATTTTGCTTGCTGTTCACTCAGAGAACCTCTGCAGATAGTCTAGAACCGTATATTAAGAAAACCCAGAAATATCCAGACTCCAAGAAGCATTTGGACAATGCTCTCAGGCACAGGGTGAGATTCTTGGGGCAGGAGCTGAACTTGGATGATCTTTGTGGGTTCCCTCCAGCTCAGGATATTCTGTGATTCTGGTTTGCTTCCCAGTGTTCCTGAGTATAAGAGCTGCTTCACCACACATACAGCACAGCTCTGGTGCACTCCTGCTTTCCCCGCAGGGCTCTTGTGTCCTGACCCTTGGTCGGAATCTGAGGTATTGATGATTCCGAGATTGTAGAAAGTCTCTGTCTTTCTGCCCCGCTGCCAAAGAAGAAGCCATAATTGGTCTGTGCTGGTTTCAAGGTTGTTTATTCTGTTTATCTCTAACATGTTCTGCTGCCCTGCCGCAGGTCTGTCCTGCAGGGCAGCGTGTGGGGCTCTGCCCCCAGTGGGATGTTACAAACATTAAATACCAGAAACTACCTGTGCTATATTTACAATAATGTGCCAATATCTGTCACCTACATTGAACAGTGTGTCCCCAGCCTGAACCAACAGAAAAATGCCAACACTGCAGTGAACCATGGAGGGCATGAAGAAGGAGAAAAAGGACAAGACACACCCAATTTCCTCCATCTTGTCCCCTTTGGACCCCTAATCTAGAATCCTAAAATTTTACTTTTGCACCCGTGCCACACTTAATTATTACTTATATCAAGCACTCAGAGCTGGTAATTCATCCTGTAAGATTGAAAACTCTTTTCCATGGACAGAGCTCACAGACAGTGTCTCTGGGGGCTCTGTCCAGGGGGTTCCTGACCCCCTGCCAGGGTCCCAGGCCTTCCAGGGCAGCCAGAGGGAAGCCCTGGATTTCCACAATCCTCAGAGAGGATGGAAGTTTTAACTGACTTCTCATAATTTCTCTGAAGAATTCCCACCTTGTATTAGGGATATACACCCCATTCCTGCAAGGTGTAGAGGTCCTTTTTGAACCCATTGCAGGTATTATTTCCTCTTGAGCTGTAGCAGGTGTTGGCCTTCAGCAGGGAAAGCTGTGAGGAGAGGATGGTGCTCCATTTGGGTTTTGGGTCTTTGTGGACTTGAGATGAATTTACAAGCAAGCCACCTCCTCCTTGGCTACAAGAGGGCAAACCCTGCCTCCCCTCCATCTGTTTCCTTCACCATTTCATGCGTTCCTACAGCATAACTTAACCAAACACCATCCTGCTGGTAAAATTGTATTATGTTATTTTCACTCAGTGGGAACTGTCAGCACCAGGAAGATGCTTCATTAAGGAGAAAACAGCAGATAATCTAGGAACCCATTCTCAATCAGTCATCATTTTACACAGCTGCTGGGAGCCTTTTCTTTTTCTTCAATAGCCCAGTTTGACGTTTGTACTGGTACAAAATGGGGTGGGGCTAAAATTGGCATTGTTTTCAAAAGCCTTCTTTGTAAGATTTGTATTCCTCGAGTCTTCACTTCTGTCCAGAACTTTCTCCAGAGCTCTGCTTCCATGCAGGGTCACTTGAAGGATCAACCTTTCAAATTTGGAGGGGAAGTACCCCACCAGAAAATGCCAGAAACCACCCTAATGTCATGTAATAGCATCAGCAGGGTTTTATGCATGTGAGGGGTGTGCGGAGAGACTTCTTGAAGTAGGAAGGGAAGTGTCCCTCCCTTAATTTTTGGATGCAAAAGGATGAAGGGTAGAGGTGTTAAAGGACTTTGCTGTTCTCAGTTCTGTGCTAAAAGGAGCAAAATTTAGCCAGGCAGTATTTAGAGATTACACAGCCCAGTGATGTTTTGAATTTTGATTCTTTTTAATGAAATGCAAAACCAGATTGCAGCATCATTGGGAGTTTCTCATATGCTTTAATCACTTCTAAGTCTGGTCAGAGTTCCTTAAAAGGCAAAGTTAGAACAGGGAGAAATTTAGGTTGTGGTAAGAATTAGGAATTTTAGCTCCATAAAATCCTTTGAGAGTTGCATTCACAGTGTTTATAAGTGAATGTGTCTGTCACCCCAGGACACATGCATACAAAGTTAACTGGCAAATCCATATGGAGAGCTAAAATCCATATATTTAATGCTATTATCCTCACTAACATCACTGGGGGGCTAATTTAGAAGCCCAAACACTGACAATCAGAATTATGTATTTTTGAAATTATTCACTACTTACTGCTTCTTTCCTTGTCATGATGGGGTTTTAAAATTATTTTTGAAAATTTCAAAGATAACGAGGGAGAGTCACAAATACTTTGGGAAGCTTCTCCTCCTCCAAAAGGCTGAAGTCTGCCAAGTAAGTGACTTGGTTCTTGTCATGCACTGGAACAATGTCCTGATTTAATATGACAAAATAGACGCTGCTAATGAGGTGTGTCCTCAGCTCACCCCATTTATCACTGTAAAGCAGAGAAGTTATGCTGCTCTCTAATTAAAGGTGAATTCACTAGCCTGACACTTTCCAGGAGATGACCCTGTTTCAGATTCCTCTGCTTTTGCCAAAGTATTTGGGATGAAATGTTCTGTGCTGAACAGTGGCCTGAGAAGCGTTTTATTTTATTTATTTACTCTGAAATTCTCCATAGAGGCTGTTCAACCTTCTTCTGAGGAGGGCAGCTAAATTGCAACAGTGTTATGAAGAAATCCTCAGTCTCTCTGCTTCAAGTAAAGAGCTTGAAATTTACCTGCAGGCTTCCTGATGTCCAAAGGATATTTTTTATTTGTCTCTATGAAGGAGAAAAAAAGAAAGATGTCATAGGTAGCAGAGAAACTCAAGAGCAGCCCAAGCTGCAGGAGCGTTAACAGGCTGTGAATTTGTGCACTGTATTGTTTAATTATGTACTTGCATGGGATGTTCTTAGCAGAAAATGAACAGTCCTGAAGAGTGAAGTACAGTTATGCAATAAAGGGATTTGTCTGGGGAACAAGACTGCATCTTATGTGGGTGAAGTGCTGCAGGGTGGTACCAGAGGCTGAGACAAACTGTGAGTCTGCCCTGCAGGACTGAAAGCTCCATGTCACAGAGTTCTGGGGAGTTCTGAATAGTGCTATAAAACGCTGAGCACTCTGAAAAATTACATCCTGGAGTTGCTGGTGTGCACCCAACTATCATTCATATCCCATGCTGAACCAGTGCTGAGTGCCATGGGATGTTACTCAGCCAAACTCTTTGGATCAATGCTCCAGCTTTTTTTTTTTTTTTTTTTTTTTATTTTACCCAGGGCTGTTTAGTTCCAAGGCAAAGACTTAAAAATTAAGCTCCTTTTCCACTGAGAGACCCTCATTGCCTTACTTCACAAACATTCTGCAGTGAGGTAATTTCTACAACTGTGAGCTCTCTTGGATCAGTAAATACAATATAAATACAATGTATTAAATGTTCAACCCGCTTCCAGAAAATTTGCTCTGTAGGTTAGAAGTGGTGCACTCATTTGGTTACTCTGTCAGAAGAATCTGTCAGTTTGAAATAATAATCTTAGCAGTGAATTGTGTTGCTCAACACCAGCATTTGTCTGGAAGAAACAAAGCTGTTGTCATCTCTTCAGAGCAAGTCTTTGTATGCAGTGCTGTGTCAGATTGAAACTTGACATGTACCTACTGATATTGAGTGTCTTAGTGCAGCATAAAACCAGCATTATCTGGCCTTATATAGGAAGTATTGCCAAACAAAAATGGTTTTACTTAATTGAAAAAAAGAAAAGGCCAAATCCTGCAGAATGGGTCCCTTTCAGGGCATCAGGCATTTTTTTCTTCAGTGTCTTTGATGGGTGGTCTTGTCCTTATTGTTAAAGCACTCTCGGTTTAGCCTTGCATATCTTATTAATCAACTTCTGGCTTAAGTTGAACATTTGGAGCATTAAGTTCAGGCTTCAGCTCTCTGCAGCTTTATTCCCATTTAGTCTTCTACCCTTTGTTTTGTTGCATCTTAAATACTTTTATTTTTAGCTTTTTAAAAAGATGTAGCACCTTTCTAGACTGTTGCAGAACATTTTCACAAAGTTTTTCTTGCTGAAGGTGATTTGGAGAAGCAGTAAGAAGTCAATTGTTGATAAATATAAATGAGTACAATTCCCTTCCCTCACATGGCTGTGAGCTTCAGCTGGTAAACACTGGATAGTCATATTATTTAATTAATTTGTTTCATTTCCATAGGGCATTTGCTTGGGCTTTCCCATGATGACTCCAAGTTCTGTGAGGAGAACTTTGGCTCCATGGAAGACAAGCGCCTGATGTCCTCCATTCTGACCAGCATTGATGCTTCCAAACCCTGGTCCAAGTGCACTTCAGCAACTATCACAGAATTCTTTGATGATGGCCATGGTATGTGTTATCACTCCCCATGTCAGCTACATGATACTTTTTACTGTCAATCTGTATTTTTTATTAAGAACATTTTATGGCAGCTTATTTGCTAAATATGACATTTACCCCTTGGGGAATAAGGACAAAAAATTTGTTTTCCAAAAGTAGAAATGAAAAAGCATAGTCTCAGCTTCACTCTTCAATGAATTTTAAAGTCTTCACTGTGCTCCCAAAGCAACTGCAGTTATTAAACAAACCACTCAGATTCCAAAAGGCTGAGATAAAAATGACATAATTGAGTGAATGGATCAAGTTGTTATGGTAACCAAAATGCTTATGGATAAATGTATGCTGTGTCTGTTGAATGTAAAGGTTTGCTTTTAAATATTTTGTTGGCTGGTTTCAGTGCTCTCTGAAATATTTTTCTCTGAATGACTTATTTTTTTTTCTCTCAATTTTATTAGATCCATTAATCTGTACTATCCTGTTTTATGATCTATATTGCTCTGGCATTGATTTAATATTACCAAATTAATTTCCACAAATGAAGAGAACTTTCCCTTTTGAGTTACTGAGGTAACTCTCCCACCATCCATGAATGACCTCTCAGAGAGTGTAAGGATCTGTTTTCTCCTCAGTTCATGAGTAGCTATCATTTAGCTGTGTGGTCTTCAAGAGTTAGTGATATGATGAAATTATTCATAGAAAATTTCAACCTCTCATCATGTAGGTCTATAGTCCTCTGGGAATTCATTTTATTGCTGATGCTGTTGGTGTGATTTCCAGTCATATTTAAGGAACCTCTTTTCTTAATGGATCATTCACTCAGAGACCTTTTCTAAGTAACAGTCTTCTGTAGAAATTTATAATTTCCCAGGGTTTTTTTTTAATCACAGATCTGTCCCATCAGAATACAAATGCCATCATTTAAGTCAAAATGGACATCAATAATTTGACTTCAAACAATATGAAAATTTCATCTGACAGTCACTGGCCTCAGCAGCACTGGGGGCATGAGTGGTGCTGAATGACACCATAAAGTGATTTTCCTCAGCAGTGGAACACCTGACAGCTGAGTGAACTGCAGACAGCAGCATTACATGAAGCCAGCTGAGTAAATCCCAATGGAAATGTCTTGTCCAAGGTCAGCCAGGGGCCTGGGGAGGATCAAGGTGCTGATTCCCTGTCTCCTGGGGCCTGCTTAGAGGACAATAAACAGCTCTGTCATGGTATCACCATTTTTTTTACATTCACAAGATGACCCCAGACAACAGTTTGACATTTAGGAAGAAAAGGCTCGGTTGGTGTCCAGAGGAGAGTGACATTTATATCCATCTGCTTTTAGCAAAGCCTTTCCAAAGGTACTAATTGCCTTTATTGTCATGCCAACCACCAGGCTTGGGATGGTTGCTTGGGACTTAGTGTGTTCAGTCCCAGTGCTCTGTGCAACCTGGAACAAGGACTGTTTGTATTTTAATTAATTTATATCCTGCTTATCTGCTTCCTGCACAGATCTTGTTCCACCTTCTTTTTTTTTTTCCCTCCAAGATATATTACACATGGCGTTGAGAGAGATAATGAGATGGCTTAATTAGCACTGTCATCAGCCAACAATGTTGCTCTATTCCAGGGCACAAAGATGGTCTTTGGTGCCCCGGACAAAAAAAAAAAAAAAAAAAAAAAAAAAAAAAAAAAAAAAAAAAAGGGACTAGCAGTATGTATATGCTCTGGATGTTGAAATGTAATGCAGAATTGAAGCCCTCTCTGCCCTCCCACAAGGGGCCATGACAAGCAGGAGGTTGGACCAGCTGGTGGTAAAAACACCTGCAATTCATTGCACCCTGTCCAAACACAGACACTACTACAGTCCACCCATATAAAGATGGTTTTTTTTCCTGTGGGAAATCCTTAGGGGCCTTGCTTATCTTCAGTTTTGAATTTATCGTATGAGATCAGCTGGAGCACCTGGCTTTGTAGACATTGCACAACTTCCCTCAGTTAAAGAGAAGTTTGGATCTCATTTCCCTGTGTTCTGAAGGGGAAAAAATGCTATATTTGCTGTGTGAGCTTGTGAAACCTGTTTGTTACTCACATATAATGGGTTTCAACTGCAATGATTTGACAGATGACTATATGCAAGGATTAGACTTTTCTTTCCTTTTTCTCTAAATTTTTATTTCCAGTCAAAAAGAAGTTTTAGTATGGTGTTTTAAAATACTGAAAAACAGCTCTGCTTGAGAGTTTGATAAACTTAGGCATAAGTACAAAAGCAATGTATAATACTAAATAATACAGCCTTCCCATCACTGCCCTCACATTTCAGTGGCTTTCTCCCTCCTTACAAGATATATGAAGGAGGATTTCCACTGCTGTTTACTTTTACAAAGTGTATTTTTGCCAGAACTTATGCAAATTATGTCCAGAAACTCCAGGAAAAACCTTGCTCTTCATCACATCTCTAATATTTTACACTACAACAGCCCAGGGTATTTTTAATTATCTTTATCTCATGACAGTTAGCATTGGCACACCTTGTCGGCATTAAAATTTCATCATAATCCAGATTAAATAGAAGGCTAGGGTAAATCAGGGTCAGCAAATAGAACAGGTTTAACAAGACAGTTTTTGGTTGCAAGTCATCACACAGAAAGAATTTTTGGCTAATTTGGCTAATTGGCATTAGTCTAAAAGAGCAGAACAGTTGCAGTAAGTGTGTGTTTTGGAAGGAAAACTCAGGCTGTTGAGAAATGGGGTATTTGGTTTGCTCAAACTCCCTGCCATGGCATGAAATTCTATTCCATTTTGTGTAAATAGTGAGGGTTTTATAGATAGGCTTTTTTCAGCCATGATGCAAGTGAAGAACACTGGTGTGGGTTCCAAAGTGAGGTAAATTGTGGTGAGTTATTTTGGCCAAGGATGAGTGAAGCTTGCCCAGACCACATATCCCTTTCATGAAGTGTAAAAGAGGTTACACTGAATAAATAGTTCTTCATGTCAACAAGTGAGATTTTCAATAGTAAAAAAAAAACAGCTATGAGAAGATAACTAGAACATAAATGTGAATTCTCATTTTTAGAGTGTGCCAGACAAATCTTGACCACTGCAGACCTTAAAACACATATACAAATCTTTACATTCATGCAGTTTTTTCTTCCTGTTATTTGTGGGTTTTTGTATAAAATGCATAACCCTTTTCAAGCTAGTTCCATAAGCAGCCAAGTATCACTCCTTAAAAGAAAAGTGCAGTCCAGCTTTAGTGGCAACATTAGTTTTGATATGCAGAATATATTTTTCTTTTAGGCTGGTAGAAATTTTGATTTTTCGATCTGTTTTGTTTGGGTTTTTTGGCCTTATTGACTACAAGTCTGTGCTTTTTGATTTTTCTGGCGTCCCTTTAGAAGCTTTACTATTTCTGACATCCCGATTTAAAACTCAGAAAACAACTGTGCTTGCTTTGAGTCTTGTTTACATGAGTCTAGCTTGCCCTTTAAATTACAAACTGATTAGCACAGAATGTGTTTCTAGTCTTGTTTAAAGGACTGAAAGGCCAAAAGGACCTGGGTAAACTCATTTACACCTCAGGCTGGGAGCAGGCAGCTCAGCAGCGGGGTCAGAACACAGTGGGCAGTGGTTTGACCTCGTGCAAAACCTGATGCCACCTCAGAATCTTCAAATCACCATCCCTTGAAGGAGGCTCGCTGTCGCCCGAACGACTTTGCAGCACTGCAGGGAAAATAACAGTAAATAAGTGAGTGAACAACACCTGGGCTTGCTCTTGTAGGGAACTGCCTGCTGGACCAGCCCAGGAAGCAGATCGTGGGCCCCGAGGAGCTGCCGGGGCAGACGTACGACGCCATCCGGCAGTGCAAGCTGGCGTTCGGCGCCGAGTACACCGTGTGCCCCGGCATGGACGTGTGCTCGCGCCTCTGGTGCGCCGTGGTGCGCCAGGGACAGATGGTCTGCCTCACCAAGAAGCTGCCCGCCGTCGAGGGAACCCCCTGTGGGAAAGGAAGGATCTGCCTCCAAGGGAAATGTGTGGACAAAACCAAGAAGAAATACTACTCTGTAAGTCACTCCAAGGGGGATTTGAAAAGGTGATCTCACGGAGGTGCTGGTTTTTGTGGGAGTCAGATTGAAAGCTGCCTTGGTTTTTTTTTTTAGCACATAATTGGGGTGTTGTTGGTGAGGGATGTAGGAAAAATGCTGCTGAGGTTCAGGAAGTGTATTTTGTTCTTTAAGGAAAGCCTTTGTTCCTGGAACACTGGAGGTAGTGATTTGCCCATTCAGTAAATGGCACTTTATCAGGACATGAATTTCTGACCTGGCACAGAAAGGAAGATAAATCTCATCTCAACATTTAACTGACAGCCCTCATCTGAAAGGCCCCAAGGCCCTAATTCTAATGAAGAAAAGGGCAGATGAAATTAATCCAGAATATAACTTCTGGATCAGAAAAATTTGTGCTTCCAGTGACGGAAAACCTCTGTCTACTCTGTACATCTGAAGAATCCCCATCCCCATGAGAGCTGTCAGCTGCACAGTTCAGATACTTCTAAATTCTCTGGGTAGACAGTAGCCCCTTTTGTTACAGCCACAGAGGAGATGTGGAGCTTTGTGAAAATATTTGCAAACTATGGGAGCCATTCAAATCAAGATACAGCCTTTTTAACACTTTTTTAATGGATTCCTATACCATTTTTTATGTATTTCAATACTCCCACCTGATATTGCAATACTATAGCCAATGTAGCAGAGTTGACAACTCCATCTCTTGACAGTAATTCCAAGCAATACCAATGTGTACATCACAATAGCTGGATTTAATTAATCTCAGATGAGAAGTATGGGTTTATTCTGGGAGTTGAATCCCTTGGAGCCAGTTTAACAGGCCTTTCTGGTAGGAATAGCAAAAAATAAAAGAGCAGTCCATGAAACCATTGGTGTGTTCTGTGAAGAGGCTGGAGGTGGCTGTGTGGAGAAAGGCCCAGCAGTGGCTTTGCACCTGCAGTGCAAATGAGATGTCATCATCAGTGTGCAGATAAAAGATAGAAATTAACTCTGCTGGGAGAAAGAAGGTTCTAAGACCTGTTATACCTGAATGGCCAACTGAAGAAATTGCCTTCAGCTGAGGAAAACATTAGCAGTGACTTTGAGGCAACAGCTCCATTCATGCTTGGATGACACTCACCTCCTGCTGTTCCATGTGTTTTTCAGGCTTCGAGCCATGGCAACTGGGGGTCTTGGGGACCCTGGGGACAGTGCTCCCGTACCTGTGGGGGGGGAGTTCAGTTTGCCTATCGCCACTGCAACAACCCAGCCCCCAGGAACAACGGGAGGTACTGCACAGGCAAGCGGGCCATCTACCGCTCCTGCAACGTCACCCCCTGCCCCGCCAGCGGTGAGTGTCCCCCTGCTCCAACCTTCCCTCCCTTCACAGACACTAAACACTGATTATCTGCCCTGAAACCACACAGCAAAGGCTCACTGTAGCCTTCCCAGACTATATTTATCAAGGCAAGACGTTCAGCATTAGTACAATATCCTAATTCTTCACCCACACCTTGCCATGGACACTGTAGAGAAAGCAAAAAAAGTCCTCTAAAATGAAACATCATGCAAACTTCGGGCCTTTAATGCTTGTTATGCCATTGGGGGATTTCCAAGCTAAAACAGTAGAGGGATTGGAAGGCCAATTCTAAGTAAAGAAGTGGTGTGACATAACTTAAAAATGATGTAGGAAAGAAATTGGAATAATAGATGGACATAATGATATTTGCAGTATGGTCTGAAATAGCCACTAATGATGTGAATAATTCCACAGCTAAATCCTTCAGACAAGAGCAGTGTGAAGCAAGGAATGGCTATCAGTCTGATGCAAAAGGGGTCAAGACTTTTGTGGAATGGGTCCCCAAGTACGCTGGAGTACTGCCTGGAGACGTCTGCAAGCTCACCTGCCGAGCCAAAGGAACCGGTTATTATGTGGTATTTTCTCAGAAGGTAATGGCAGCTCCAGTCAGGGTTTCATGCTCCAGCTTAGATATTTTAGAAATCTTTCCCTACAACCAGGGAAAAGAAGTTAATCATATGATGCAAGTATTTAACTGTGTGATCAGATTTAATAGTTTGATCCACTGGTTGTACCTTAGGGCCAGAAAATGAGATTAGGTTTTTCCATATCTCAGTATGTGAATGCATGAAAATTATGGGCCTCTCTGCAGAAGTTTGTTTTTAGTAGTGGATAAAGGACTTTCTGCCTGGAGTTTTGTGTCATTATGGGGTTTTCTGGAGGAAAAAGAGTATTAGGAGAAAAGAGTAGGTCTAACCCTGAACAATGTTTAAGGAATCCAGAGTAACTCCTAAAGAACCAATTAGCATAGGATAATTAGTGACACAGATGAGACTTCTGGTCAGTTTGTTCTGTCAGATGCAATCCAGACTGAAAGTTAGCTGTCCTTGCTTTTGTCCTTTAATCTGCATTTTTTACCACCAATATTAGAGGAGCTCAATGTGGTCTGTCAGGGAAGGCGGCCTGCTCTGAATTGGTGACTAAAATGAGGAACTAGGTTTTGCCAGGTGGATCCAAACCCACAAATCTCTGTGGCAGTTTCAAGCAAGTTTTATTTGCTTGCCCAGGTCACTGATGGCACAGAGTGTCGACCCTACAGCAACTCAGTCTGTGTGCGAGGGAAGTGCATCCGAACGGGCTGCGATGGCATCATCGGATCCAAGCTCCAGTATGACAAGTGTGGGGTGTGTGGAGGAGACAACTCCAGCTGCACAAAAGTCATGGGAACCTTCACCAAAAAGAGGTACTGATCTCAACAGTGAGTGCATCTTGTTGTGCAGATAGTTACTCTGCCACGTGCTGCATGCTTTCACCCTCTAAATGCAATTTGCTTTCACATGGGGGGGAAAAAAACATACTGCTTGTAGCTTATTGCAGTTTCCAGATGTGCACAGCTGGCTCCTAGCATTATCCTGAAATTGGTAAAGCATCAGCTGGCAAAACTGCACCCAGCTAAATGCTGATACAAAAGTGCTAGTGAAGCAGGTGAGCACCAACAGGAATAGCAAGTCATGCCACTTGCAAATCTTGCTGTGTCAGATGGATTGTGGTTCCTAAAGGACAGAGGAAGAGAGAGGTGAATCAGAAAGTTGTTGGGATCAGAGTTATCTGCATCTCTCTCAAATTTTGCATTTCCCACTTGTTGCTGCATTAGCAAGTTACACCCTGAGAGTGCTTTTTCATCTCATGTATTTTGAGTGGCACTGAGGACATCCCACCTGATTTTGTGACACACATTCCTTGTATTAGAAGTGCAGAGAAGCAGACAGCTGTAAACACGTTCTTTAATAGCTGAGAGACATTATACCCCAAATTTGCCTTTTTCCACTGCTGAGGATGTGTGGAGTTCAGGTAAACAGATGAGATATCAGAAGTATCATAGGATTACTCATGAGTATATCTCTTCATATCCCTTCATGTCCACTGGCATAATATCAATCTCCAGATGGATCTTTTAAAGTCAAAATATTTATAGCAGTTATCCATGAGCCATTTTTCTGTCAGAGTTCACCTTTTAATAGTAATAAAACATAATACAAGTAAAATAAAAGGAGCTTCTGCCATGATTTTCCCTCACCACACTGAGGGCAATACTAATAGACCAATCTCAAGTAAGTCCTTTCTGTCAACTAATTTTTTCCCTCTTAAATTCTTAAGATTCATAGAAAAATTGGGATTTTTAATCATCATTTTTACAGATTCCAAGATATCAAAGGACTGATCTATACATAGAAACTTTTACTTGACAATTTTTACTCAGAATCAGTGACAGCGTTAAGCATCTTTTATATATGAACTTGATTTTTATATCTTCCAAATTCTTACATATCATGGTTAAAGCTACCAAAAGTTGCAATCTGAATCCTGAAATGATCTTTTATTTCTATACATTTCAACAGCTGATTAATAGCAGTCAAAAATGGCTTGGAGAGTGAATTTATTCTAAAAATAAACATAACTAATCTTCTTCTTGGTAAACCAATGATTGCTCACCTAACGATGCCAAAACATCTCTGCCAAAAAGAATTTCTTTGGCTTTCCAACCAAATTACTAATTACATAAACCAAATCTTTTCCAATTTGTAAATACTGGGATGTCTGGGAATGTCTAAATGCAATTGACAGAGGATGTATTTCATGTGATTTAGCAATAATCAAGCTCCAGGAAAAGTGTTAGAGGGACTCCATGAATTTCAGGGAGGCCAGATTTGTACCATAGATACACTTGGAAATTGAGGGCTTTATTATAATTATCCCTGTGAAGTTGCCATCTTACTCCTCAAATCATGCCTTTAAATGTCTTGAGACTGGCCAGAGGGTAAATTTATATTTTAATATGATTTTGATTGGATTTGGGACTGCTGATTTATGTTTACTGGAAAAGTTGTTTGGAGAAATTCTTCTCTGCAAGTAATTGACATTAAAATAAACCCCTGATTAAAATAGTGAAATCTTAATTGTCTGTAAACTGTTTTTACAGTTTGGTTTGAAAGGGCAGTGCTGGTAGGAAAATAATGTTTCCTCCACTGAAAAATGGCAGCTCCCTTGTTGCTGTCCACTATAAACTTTAACAATTTGTACACTAAATCTACAGGGAAATTTAAATATACAAGGGAAAACTAGTATTTCCCATTACAGACAATTGCCATGGCAACATTTGTTTGTTTTGTTGTTTTTTTTTTTTCTTTTAAAGCAGGCAAAACAGAATCTTCTGCGAAATTTGCTTCCTATGATTTTTGTTTAAAAAACTGTAAACCCAAATTATTAGAAATTGGGAAAGAGGGGAATTAATCTGCACATGCTTCTCCGTGCACATGGAGCATTACAGCTCTTCTTGCAGACAACTGAGTTGTAGCTCTTCTTGCAGACAACTTGAATTCTCCAGGACTGCTTGTAGGTTTTTAACAAATGATTTTGTAACTTTAATGACATGTTTTAACTGAATTATGTTGGCAGCTGTTGTGTAAAACTATTTGTGCAGTGCTGTAGAGCAGAGTCCCCAGCCTGGGATTCACACCATATTGCTCCAGCTTTATGGGGCTGCTAAATCAATGGAGTCTTAAGTCCTTGTCCCATAACTGCTGGAAATAGCAGGGGATCTGCACAAATGTTTCATCTGTAGTACGTGCAGTCTCTACTTGTGAAGCCAAAAGTTCTCAAAATTAGCAGTCTGTTCTTTAAACGATCCCAAAGGAGATGCCATCACTTTTATGTATTTTTCATGTATTTTCTCATGAAACCTGTCAGATATGAGGTACTTTCAGGATGGGTTTGCCACGGGTTTAGGAATGAAAACACATCTCCAATGTCCAGCTGGTAGCTTACAGCTATGTAAAGCCTTTAAATTGTTTTCTATATATCAGTAAAGTTAAAATAACATACTTGAGATAGTGACAAATTCCAGCACACTTGCAGGTTTTGAATGCTTGTCACTTTTAGCAAAAGAGTTTAATCTCCTTTTCTAAATCCCTGTTAAGATAGTTAGTTCATAATTAGTAGAGAATTCCATGGTGGTACGAATGAAGCTTTTGGGTGCCCCTCTTATTAGACACTTGACAATTAATCTTTGGCTTTATAGATTTCAAAGTAAACAAATTTTTTACTTGGTGATCAAGACTATTTTTAAATGTTCCCAAGGTACCTCTACCCAGCTGTTCCTCTGCTTGTGCTTTCCTTAATCATCATTATAGCAAGAAACAGCTGTAACCAATGCATATCTCATTATCTTTTTCTTGGCAGGCAGCGCGTGCATCGTATTTCATATCTCCCACCCTTTGCTAAAATCCATAAGCTATCTGTTATTTTTCATTCCTCTGGTATCTGACCCACGTCAAACTGTCCCTAAAGCTAAAGATTAAGCAATCTGCAAGAATTGCAGTAGAAACTTCTTGGGGAACATGAAGAACAACACAGCAGGCCAAGAGTGGAACCTGGTTAAATTAATCTTAGGGAAAATCCAGGTGGCCTGAACTGAAATGAAGCAAGATGTTGTTGTCCATAGGTTGGACTCAAAGATCTGTTCCAACCTGCTTGATGCTGTGATTCTGTGTCATGCTAGTGACTTTGTGAGGCGTTGCAGTGAGAATTTTCCTTCTTTCCCTTCCTTCAGCAAGGGCTACACGGATGTGGTGAAGATCCCAGAAGGGGCGACCCACATCAAAGTGCGGCAGTTCAAGAGCAAGGACCAGAGCAGGTTCACAGCCTACCTGGCCCTGAAGAAGAAGAACGGGGAATACCTGGTCAACGGGAAGTACATGATCTCCACCTCGGAAACCATCATCGACATCAACGGCACCGTCATGAACTACAGCGGCTGGAGCCACAAGGATGACTTCCTGCACGCCATGGGCCACTCAGCCACCAAGGAGATCCTGATTGTGCAGATCCTGGCCACCGACCCCACGCAGCCCGTGGACGTACGCTACAGCTTCTTCGTGCCAAAGAAACAGGGCCAGCTGGCAAACTCTGTCCCCAGCAGCGGCGGCGGCGGCAAAGTGACAGCGCAGGCCGCGCAGCCCCGCTGGGTGACGGGGCCGTGGCTCTCCTGCTCTCGAACGTGCGACACGGGCTGGCACACCAGGACTGTGCAGTGCAAGGATGGGCACGGCAAACTGGCCAAGGGATGTCTGCTCTCCCAGAGACCCTCAGCGTTCAAACAGTGCTTGCTGAAAAAGTGCTAACCTGTGGTGGCGAGCTGCTTTCAAAGAGGTTTGAGTAAGCCGTTGTTGGCGTGCTGGTGTCAGGTCTGCCCACACAGACGGAAGCAAAGGCTTCAAAGTACTTGCGTTCAGTCTCTAATTATGGGCAGAATCTGCCTGTTTGGACCAAATGAAGATGTGCACTGCTTTAAATAAGAGTAGGGTGGTCTTAATACGTCAAAGAAAGTAAGCGTTAAAGTTGTTATAAGCCCTCTGTCTGCAAAAACGTAGAATAAAATAATGCAAAAGAAGAAAAACTAGTGAATGGAGGATCCTGGGATATTTGAAGGTTACAGAATCATCTCCCCTTTTTCACCTACCTCTACTACAGTATGTCCTTAGGAAATGTCATGTGTCCCCATGATCCCACAGTAGCTTATTTTATACTGTTTTGTAAATATCTTTCAGTTGGTATATCACTTTATATCACTTCCTTCTATTAAAGAAATCAAAAGACAAATTACATAAGCAAAATGATTGACCAAAGTATATCTGCAGCCCTTGTGGACTTGGTCCATCCTTCAGAAAGGGCCACAGATGTTTTACTGGAAAATGAAGAGCTTGCTGCTGGTTTTTAAAAATGATACCTTTTGGTTGTGACAAAAGGAAATACGTCTTCACGGTAGGAATTTCCTGACAGTATATAATTAATGTCTGACAAATCCTGTGTTTCCACCCCAAAATTCTCAGGAGGAGCCTTGAGCCTTGCAGCAGCTTGCAGAGCAGGGAACCCCCCATTGCTCCAGCAGCAGGAGGAGTTTGTGTACACTGTGCTTGGGAACCTCCCTGGTTCCAGCTGTGTCACAGCCTGGGCTCCTTGCTGTCACTGAGCACGAGCTGCTCGAGCTGCTCCTCTCCATGAAACAAAGGCATACTGTGCTTTGTAGAAAACTAGTTAGAGAACCAAAACTTACAGGTGAGGTAATCAAGTGTCTTCTGACTCAGATGTTCTGAGGCTGTGTTCAGCTACTTTCTCTGGTATTTTCTCTATGGCTTCTACCTTGAATTTAACAATGTGTAATGTACCTACATCTTTTCAAGAGGCTCTCAAGGTCAAAAAACACAGCAAGCAGTTAATATTTTATCACTGTTTTGTCCATCGTGTCTAACTCTGGTATTCATCTTACCAGCAAAAGTTTGTGGCTATTTGTCTTTTTTTTAATTGTTTTTGTTTGTGTTTTGGGGTTTTTTAAAAGCTATAGAAGGCATTCATGTTTTGTATATCTACCACATTTGGGAGGAATAAGGGTCATTAGGAAGTCAAACCACATCAGGATGTGGAGGACTTGTCCAATATCAATAAGACTGTTTCCACAGCACAGGCAGTAGCTGGTAACAGTTTCCCTTGGCAGCAATTCCTGAATCCTGTTATTGTCTTGTGGAAGTTCTGTGACTGAGGCTGGGCATTTCACCTTGTGCAGGTGGAGGCCTGAGAGCAGCCCTGGTAAAATTGCTCTCTTTAATATCAGCAGGTTTTGAATTAGACCCTAAGGTAACAGGTACCAAAATAAGTGGTAAAAAAAAAACACTGATGAAAGTAGAACCCCATCTTTTACTCCTTTGTTCATCCACACAGGAGAGCAGGAGACTGCAGGAGGATTTTCAGACAAGCCTCAGCTGTAAGTCAGTGGTACTTCAGCAGTGAAACACCTCAGGCTCTTCTGAAAATCCCAGGCATGAAATCAGCAGGGAAAACTCACTGGAGTGTGGAGCAAGAAGGGCAGGTCTGACTCCAGGCTGACACAAACATGTTTTTGCAACTGTGGCATGTTTGTGTGAACTCTTAATAATCATGTGATTATTTCAAAACAGCATAGAGTTGCTACATCTACAACTGTGAAATCTGGAGATGGATCTGTTTTTTTACCCTGTTTTAAATAAACAGTACCAAGGGCAGGGCCTCCTCCTCTGTTATATGGATTGCCAACAAATGTTATTAATCAGCTTTCAGAAATGGTGTGGCCTTCTGTTCAGGAGTAGATCCTGTGTAAAACTGTGGATCTTTAGAAATACTCCCCATTTGTTCTTGGTCTCAATCTGAGAACTGAGATCAAGGCTCAGATGATTTGCAGAGTGCTGGAAAGTAAACATTTATGCCTCCTCGGCCTGTTAAAATAAGATCACTTTGCAATGCCTTATTTTTCCTTCCAAGTAACCTAATCTTGATGCTTATATATGTATTACACATGTCCTAGAACCTCTCCAAAAAGTCCATAACAAATAGAAACCATCATGAGAGGAAAAAAAATCAGGAGATTGAATGTGTCTCAGCATAGACAACATTTGTCTCAGCATGCAGCTGCTGCATTAAGTGGTGTTTGTGTTCTGTCACAATAGAGACAGAATGTGCAAGTATTTGTGTTTGCATCATGGTAATAATTTATTATATATTCAGCAGGCTGAGTAAAGCTTTTGGATGCTATCTAGGCATGCCATATGCGGGTATAAATACAGAGCTTCCTTAGACCAGGAGTATCTTTTAAAAATTAAAAGAGTTTACTTAGAAATGAATACAAGAACAAACCACTGCAGTGATTTTCACCAGTGCAGCAATGAAGCAAATTCACACAAGCAAAGATATGAGGGGGCAAAGGAGACAGACCAAGGCAGAACCTGAAAAATGTAAGATAAAGGTTAAGCCAACACCTGCTTATTCAGGTGTTCCTAAATCAGAGTCCAGTTCCAAACCATGGCTGTCCCATGTACCTGATGAATGAAGAATTGGTGCAAGGTCTGTTCTCAGCCGAATCCCGTGTCACTCACACTGTGACATCATTGTTTACATTTCTGCCCAATGTTGCACATCTGGATTCAGGAAATGCACCGAGGGGATGGAAACCTGGAATTCTGCTCTCGGCACAGCCAGGAACCATCTCAGTGTTAAATTCACTCTGACCTTGGGACAGGCTTCCAATGTCCATGGGTAAATTTGGACCCCTGAGCATCAGTGGAGTTTATAGCATCTGCTTTTCAAGTAGGATATTCTCATTAGGAAAAAAACTGGCATCTTTGGTTTGACTGTGTACAAGAAATTAAGTTTAGCTGCCCTCCTGTGGAAACAGTTTTATCACAAGGGGAAGAGGGAATAATCTTGTGGATTAATAACAACTGTTAAAAAAAAAAAAAGCAACATAGCACTGAAAAAAATAAAATAATTTATTGTTTTTACAACTGGTATGTGAACGGATGTAATGAATTTATTTATTCTTATTTAACAAAATGCCAATTGTGCAAATTCTATATTTAAAATGTTTTGCCATCGCCTCTGTCTCTCTTTCTGGCTCTCTTTTAATTTATGCTTCGGGTTTGTGTTGAAAGTACGCCTTGTGAGTTTACATAATATATGGCACTGGTCATTTTTTGTATGATTTTATTTAGACTTTCTGCATGGAACAGGAGTATATGTGTATACACACATGTGTAGATGTATTCTTTTTCTGCTGCCACCTTTTCCTTTGAGAAGTTGTAGCTTTTTAATTTGACAACACTTTGTGCTCCAAGCTCCTTGCTACATTTCAAAAAGCTCTGAACAAGCAAGTCCCAAAGGTCTGCAGACCAAAAAAAGTCCTGTAGTGGCTCCTGAAGAAATCAGAAAACAGATTGGTGTCTCAAAGGCATGTGCAATTCATGCTGGAGGCCTCAGTGATTGACCCCCCAAAGCTGATCCTACCCCTTGCTTTAATTGTAGCAGAATTTAAGTAACTGGGAGTCCATGGGAGTGAAGTTCCTCTGTGTTGCCAGCACTCTTCTCTCATGCAGCTTCTTATGTTTAAGTGACAACACTACAGAGAAAACTCCTGGGTGTCTCTATAAAATAGCTTGATAAACAAATGATTTGGTTTATGAGGACTGAACCATTAAAAAACACATTTTTTTCTATGTTATCACTGGTTATATACATATATAAATATGCATATATGCCTATAAAAAGTCAAAAGCCAACTTGGAAGGCTTTCCAGTGTTTTACTTAATTGTATTTCAGCTCTTTGCACCACATCAGGCAAAGATAGATTAAAAAAAAACAAAACAAAAATCAGCAAAACATGTTTCCATGAGACTAATACCTGTTTTTCTTCCAGTCCAACTAGTTCAGATCTCAAGGGAATAGAATTGGGTGCACTGTGAGGGGAAAAATGTGATGTGGACAAACCTCCAGCTTTTCTGCAGTCAGTTCATTGACCAACACAAGTGGCTCTGCAAGGGCAGTAGCACAGCCTGCACATGAACAGTTCCACTCTGCTGGAAGTCACCTTGCTCCCCAGTGCCCACCTGAGTTCAATTCCAGCTCAGCCTCTCTTCTGTCACCCAGGCACTGCCCAAAGCCAGTCAGCCACGAGGCTTTAGAGGGATTGGGGATGGCCACTGGGTGATGCTTCCTCTCTCAAGGCCCAATCCAAAATGCCAAGGATTACAAGCCTGGCCTTTGATGATTTTAAGGGCAGGCTTTGAACAGGGTTTTACCATTAATTGTGGGCTTTCAGCAGCAAGTTCAGGGAATGTTTCTCTTCATGCCATGCTGTTGTCACTGAGGAAGTGGAGCCTATAGCAAGAGGTAAAATTGAATTCTCTGGGCATAGGTTGGAATTTTCAGGGAAAAAAATTAACATGATTTGGAGAATCCTTTCCTTTTTTTCATTAAATGATTTGATTTTTATAGAGCTGCCAGAGTGCCTCACTGCATTCATACTTGCCATGTGCAACATTTTCAAGGTTTTTTTTCCTATGGGTGCCCTTACACTAACTTGTATAGTCAAGCTACTTCAATTCTTGTTTCAAACAACATTGCAAAATCATACACTTCTGGTTTATTACACCCACCAGCAATGTCTCTTAATGTAAGAGAGATTATTGGGTCCTCAGCTGGCACCCCAAAAGGGGTCTTAGAAGGTTTAAACACAAGTTTTCAGTGATAAAATTTGAAAAGCCCTAAACCCAGGTGAGTGGTGCAAGAGCTCTTCCCCACAGCACACCAAACACCCCAACACCATCCCACTGCTCTGCACTCTGTGAGTCACAGGACAAAACTCACAGCATCTTTTGCCCTGGAAATTGTCTGTGGAGGCTCAGAGCCAGTGTAAGGACAGTAAAATCCTCTCCCCAGTCATCATAGACGGTGTTCAGACACCTGTGGCTAAGTGCAGGTGCATATTTTGTGCGTGTGCTTGTGTATGTGAGTACTTGAGTCTCCAAAACTCCCACTCACAGAGGGAAAAAGGTTACACTGGATTTAGTAATACCTACATAAATTTGGAGTTACTTCATGGTATCATTTGGCTTTGCTGGAGGTGCTTCAGACTTACACCACTGTGACAGCATAGTTTTTTCTTTATTTATAGTAGCTGGTTTACACAATTTATCATGTGAACTGTGAAATCTGCAAATAGGTTATCTTATGAAACATAGTGACAGGCATTGTTAAAATCCCATCAGATACAGGAAATATGCTGAATTGAGTAAGTTGGAGACAGGGTATAATTCTGTAGAGCAATAAATTTAACTTCTATTGCCAGGTCATCTGCTTAGCATCAGATAAGAGAAAATGAAGAAGGCATTGCAGTTAAGAGTAAGGGGAAAGCACAAAGTTTGGGTTTGCTTAGTTTACTTCACATGACTCTTTGTACACTGTCGGTGTCAGCATATTGTGGGAAGTCACTTTGTCACCTGGCTGAAATACCAGTACCCTTTCAGAAACCAAGATGTGTCACAAAACCTATTTTTCATCCTAGTCTTTGTCTAATCAGAGGGATTTAATATTTTTAGAGCACCACTGTGTCAGCCAGTTTACATCATAAAAATGAGTTGCTCAAAATATAAATTCATTTGAACTGAACTGTGCAAGGTCCACACTGTACAATGACACACAGAAGGCCAATATTTTGTTTTGTAAACTATTACATATGTACAATTTACCAGTTGTAATCTTAAAACACTTGACTCTGTGATTTCAGTAAAAGTAATAAATACAAACTGTATCATAGGTCCAAAAGATTTGTTTATATGGTATATCTGGGGGCCTCTGCTCTTTGTGCCCCACTGCAGGCAGATGAGCATAAAGATCTTGAGCATAAATTTAAGACATAAATATTCATTCTATATGTGAACACTGCATTTTGGTTGTGGTGGGGTGGAGTTCTAAAGTGTTTTGGGGAGTTGTGAAACAACAGGAAAGTACGGAAGGGGGTGTTTGTTGCAAGATTCATAATTATCCATCTAAACCAATCTCAGAGCAGTAAAGACCTGCCAGAAGGGATGGTGTTGGTGCACTCTGTGTGCTGAGGTGGTGGCACAGAAAGGTGAGAGTTTTTCTGGGGAGAAAAGCAGCAGATACTCTAGTTGAAGTGTGGCTCTTCAGAGGCACTATTACAAAGATATACTTTTCTAATAGAACCTTATAATTCATTTTTCATGCTGATTTCTCACTTATCCTTTCACATTCCACAACACTACGCTGGGAATTTTTCTTGTTCCCAAAAATGGTGGTTTCCAAAAAGATACTCTTGGCAAAAGTAAAAGCAAACTCATCCTGTCTAAATCTTACCCCATGTGTGTGCCTAATCTATTGATTGCTGGCATTTTTATGAATTTGGGATTTTGCCTTTTATTAACTTGGAGGTTTTACTTTCTTGTGTTTTGCAAATTGTGAATGAAATTGGTTTTTATTTACAGAAACAGTTTATATATGCCTAGGAACACCTTTTCTTCCTAGGCTGTTAAACAATGGCAGTGCTGCTTTACAGAGCTGTCAGTACCTACAGAGGGGCTCAAGCTCTTTACAAAAAAGTCTTATCACCACAGGGATACATCAGTGCCTCCTCCACAGCTTTGCATAACAAGCTGTAATGTCACTGTGATCATGGCAAGTCCTGTCTCTCCAAAATTCCATTTTCATTTCCCACTTCAGAGTTTGCAGTAGCTCAGAGAAAGCCATTACTGGCAAGGGAAATCCATTGGTGTACAAATCAAATGCAGCAGACACAGCATTACAGCCCTTCCCAAATGTCCAGTGCTGCCATAATCCCATTACTGTGCAGGGACTGTTCTGTATCAGGGAGATGAACTCATTCTCTCTTGATGCATTTTCCATCTCATCATATTGTGATATTTCACCTCTTCAGAAATCTGTAATTATATGTGAGGAGGGAGATCTTTATTCCCAAGATTCTCAACTTGTAGACCCAAATCTTATTTTTAGGTGGGGATGCAAGATGGATTTGATCCAATTTCAGTATTCTAGCCAAACCAATCCTTTTTTTTTTTTTTTTCAAATCAGTTATGGAAACTGCCAAGTACCTCCAGTGATCAAACTAAAAAATGTACAAGTCTTTCCACATTTCTTTTGCTGTTACCTCATTCTCCAATACTCTGTGAAGTTTAAAGCAATAAATCCATCATACTTAGACCACTCACCATTCTGAGCTGACCCAAGGACAGGGTTGAAGAGTTAGAGCATGGGAAAAATTATTTAACAAAAGCCAAGGAAAAATACTCTTTTCCACGCTTGGAGGGCCAGGACGACAATCTCTTTGCTTTCCCTTGATTATTCTGGGGAAAAAACCCACATCTAAGTGAAAAGTCACAGATGTTTTCTTAAGCAGCTGCTCAAGAAGGCTTTGTTGTAGCAATCTAAGGCTGAGCTTATTAAAACAGCCATTTTGGCCATTGCCACCATAGTGACTGCTTCAAGTGTTGCTAAAGAAATACAGTGAGACAAGGAAGTTGGATGAAATTCTGGAACACGTAGGTGTGGGAGAAAGAAGGGTGAAGAGCCCGTACTCCTTTTGAGCTTTAAGCTGCTGGGTAGCAGGTGCTGTGCCCTCTCCCAGTGGGATGCCTCCCATGCCTGTGGAACACTTTGCTTATGATCAAAGGCCAAATGCCCTGGTGAGGGTTGCAGATGTGAGTTCTGCCCTAGTAACCACACATACACACGTGTTAGTGCACATAAACTACATCTGGAGGGGGGGAAAACATGCAAATTGCACCTGACTGGCAGTGCAGCAGGGAAGCCCATTGGGAAGCAGCCCTGAAAAGCCATGGAGGCACGTGGCTTTTTCTTGAGGAACATCGCAGTGAGCACCAGTGACGCCTTAAGTTTTAGCTTTCATATTTACCACATTCTGGATTCCATTAGTATATCACTCTGAACTCCATACAAAGTGTTAGCAAGCTCTCCTCACAGCTCAGGCAGACAAAACAATCCTTTTCCAGCCCCAGAACCAAGGACACCATTGCAGCTTCAGGCCCAAAAAGTGTAAACAGGGAAATGAGGAGAGCAAATCTGGGAGGATGGGACTGCATCACCTGAAGCTGTAATTGGACAATGAACCCCAATATGGAGATGAACCAAAACTTATAAAAGTGTGAAAACTCGTGACTCAGGGTGCCTCTTGGGTCCGTCTTGGGTAGAGCCATGACCAGGCTCTTGTACTGCTCAAGGTTATCCTTTAAGGCTTTTTAACAAACCCCTACTTTATTCCTTTAACTCTGTCCAGCCTGTGCTCCAGGGAACCTCTCAAGGCATCACCAGGACAGCCCTGTCGTGCCCCAGAGCATCAGGGAACTCACATCTTGAAATAGTTGAGAGCTGGCAGCAGGCCACCCATGCAAGGGCTGAGATGGCAGCTGCCCAACAAACAGGCCTAGTTACCTACTAAAGGTGGTCTGTAACTAAAGGGGAGCAAAAATTACACTGGAAACTTTCCGAGAGCACTTTAAAGTGGTGGATTTGAGGCCGGGCCCTGCCCACTGGAAGCGGGACTTTGCCGAAGGCCTCGTTGCGCTTGGCCAGGTTCAGTCCAGAACAAACAGCGCTGGGTGCATTCTGTGTGGGCTGGGAGGAATGTTTTCTCACTGATATTTATGTGGCATGCTAAGATCTGACAGACATCCAGAGGGGGGTTTGGGGCCAATATTTCATTTTAAGTACACGCTGCACACGAAGGAAGGAAAGCAGCGTGCAATGGCATTGCTTGTGAGGGGTGATGGGAGCGGCAGAGCCGAGACGGGCTCTGTATGGCCAAGCAGAGATAGAGGTTGTTTCAACAGGAATTTGAGCTATGAAAGGATTTAAGGGGAAATTACCAACCAGTCTGGCATTCGGATGCCAAAATACACAGGCAGACTTGGCTGCACAGGCACGCTGTAATGCTCCTCAGCTTGGTTTCAAAGGGAGAAGGGAAGTGGCAGGACCTGGCTGTGGAAACCTCAGCCTCTCCATGCACACAGAGAATAAAAATTCTGGATCATGACACCACCCCTTTGTCAAGATCAAATCAAACTCTGAAGAATTCTATGTGAAGAACTTTTCCTTCAGAGAACAGAAGAAAGAACCAAATGATGCTTTGCTTCCCTCTCCATCAGAACATTTCATATTTTGGGATGAGTTTGTTGTGCATTTTTGGCTATTTTTTTCCCCCAAAATAGGCCAGGTAGACATGAAGCCAGAACCTAAGGCAAGTTGTGATGTTGCTGTGGAACAGCTTTGCCTCCAGAAGGTCCCTGCCTGCCTCAGCCTGTTCAAGGCTTTCCCAGTATGGCTCCAGTGTCAGGCTCTGTTTCCCCAGAGCCTACATCTTCTACCCCCGGAGCCATTTCCTTTGGCTGCATTAATAATGTGTATTTAAATCATCACCTGGTTTGCTTTCAGAGCTGGTCAGGTTTCTAGAAATATGGAAAATAGGATGTCTAATACCAAGTAGATTGGGGGGAAAAAACCACATCAGAAAAAAAAAAAATTAGGAGGTGTAGTTGCTTCTCATTTACAACTACAAAAAGAAGGGGAAAGCTCCAAGAAGGAACAGTATCTATGAACTGTATCTTTTCCCTCTTAAATCTGGATGTAAGCCATAACCAGGCAGTATCCAAAAACTTTGTAAAACTCAGGGAGTTAATTTAGATCTCACAGAACTCAATACCTTGGGTTAAGCTTTAAAATATAAAGCAGAACAGCTAAAATAAGAGAATAGAGCAGCAATAGAGGAAAAAATACTTTAATTTTCAATTAGATACTGCAAGAGGGAAAATTAAATAAGAAGGGACCCCAGATGGCTTAAGATAAATTCATACAAGGTTAAATGTAACAGATAAATATAAGGGGAAAAAAAATTGATTCCAAAAGGATATATATGGATTTCCATTAGAAGCAGTAGCTGAAGAATTCATAGCTCATTTTTTATGAGAATGTGGATATTGTTACTAAAAATCTGCAGCCCAGACAGGTCTAACATTTTAAGCCTTTTTAAAGCCTAGTTCATTTATTTAATTAGATATTCCAGGAGGCTCCTACTCCTACACGGAAGCAATGGTAGCTGCTATATACATTACAACTCCTGAAGGGGTGGGAGTGACTCAGTCACTCCTGATGTACCTCAATGTAACACTGGTTTTCAGAGCAAAGGGTTACCAAGGAAAAATATAATTTCTTTGTACACCTGCTCAGGCCAGGAAGATGCACCTCAGAGACATGGGATTTAGGCATCAGCTTGATTAACAGGATTAACCACAAGGACTCTTAGTTAAAAGAAAAAGCCTGGGACCAGGGTGAGGCTCCCTGCTGGAGGTGCATCATGACCATGGTTTGCAAAGGTTCCTTGAGGGATGATTTCTGTGCTGTCCCCAGAAATTTGTGAGGATGAAGGGATAAATCCTGCCTCAGAGCCAGTCCTTGAGCAGGGCTGTGAGGCCAATTCACCTGACTTGGTCCTGTGAGTAAATAATTTGTGACACAGCTCAAAGCACTGTAGGGAAGTAGCTGGAGGACCACAAAAACTACATTGGTGTCTATATGGCAACAGACAGAGGTTATTTTAGCAGTGTGAAATGTTTTCAGATTTCAAGAGCATGCAAATAGTGCCAGAGTAATTTGCCAGTGACAATAATGTGTGGTGTAATGCTGAGGAGAAAAGCCTTCAGCTGGGTTTGACCCAGTATAAACCATCCCTGGGTTCTAACTCCAGTTGTTTGCAGTGTTTATCAACTATATCTGGG